ATATGTAATCTTTTATCTTCCTTTACTTATTTCCTGGCTCTCTTTCATTTTTCCTTTTTTTCCTCTTCTAGTAGCTTCCGAAAACCTATTTGAATATTTTTTTTATCATCCATCTAATCCAACGGTCTTGATTCATTCACCCTCTTTTGTTTTTCATGAATCCAATGGCTAATATTTATTGGATGATGTGGCTCATTTATGTTTCAGTTTAGGTTTCACCTTTCATAAGGTTCTTTCATAAAAAAACAACATCTCAAACTACCATTTGAATTTCTCTTAGCCAAATTATCTTTTATCAACACAATTCCTTTAAGGAGATACACATAAAAATCTTAATCTTAAGGGGCATCTTAAGCTTCCAAATGATCTATTTCTTTCTATATACCCATTATTAATCAAGGCTAAATACAATGATCTTACAGAATAGTGACCAATTTTATGAAAATTCCATCTAAATATATCATCCTTCTCTGTTAAATTAATATGCACAACTGAACCACACAAATTATGCCAATTGACCAAATTCTGACCAACTAAAGCTCTCCTGAAAGAAACATTAAGCGGAATAGAACCCATATTTAGAAGTAACTATTTACCTTCATCAGGCCAGATAAAAATGGGAATCCCCTTGTTTTCTCTCTACATGAGTTATTGATTTACTATTAAGATTTTTCCTTTCCAATAAGTCTTGCCACACATCTTGTTCATTTATTAATTTAAGCAATCATTTGAGCACTGGTATTTTGGTAAAGTGGCAAATAGTAAATTCTCCCATAGTACATATAGTTCTTAAAATTTTAGTATATTTGTATATTTCGCGTGACATATTATACAGGAAAATGCAACAAAATTTAAGTGTTTTTATGTGATTACGATAGCTAACGTGGGAAACGTGCATTGTGCCGTGCACAATTACCGGTAAGGATAGACCACTGCATCCTTAATTAATGTGAAAATTATATTGGTTGATGGCTAAGTGAGGGTAGTGGAGTAATAAAATTTCTCAATTTGCATATTGGGGGTAGGTAAGAGCAGGTGCAATAGCAGACTATAAACCAGCCATAAACACATTTCGAGGAGATAAGAGATGAGAGAGAAGATCAATGTGCTACAGATTTGTATCCAACTGCAGCACGGACTCTAACATGCATGTGTGTATGACACGTAGTTTGATTGTGTAGTACTCCCTCCTTCCAAAAGTTTAGTCCTGTTTCTTTTTCACCAAGACTAATGTGTAATTAACTTATTAATCCAAAACCAATAAACATGTAACCAATAAGTACTAAAATAATTTTTTGGTTCCGATAAAAAAAATAATATAGCACATAGTGACTAACTACGAATATGATTTAGACTTTTGAAAGGAGGGAGTATATGTTTATATGAAACGATTATATGAAAATTGATTATAAATGATTTAAAACAAATAATTGACTGCACTATTATAAACTTGCTCTAATAGTAAGAAGGTGTAGGAGTTGTTTATTTTGAGACCGAAGAAGTATCATCTTGAAGTGTCAAAAAGCGTGAACACACTTCACCGGGTTACGTGTGGGTCCCGTTTGTGGGTGTGGTGCCTTACCCATATTGTTCCAACTAATGGCGGGTGGGTCCCACTCGTCGGTGGAACAAATGGGCGCGGGCTAGGAAACAAGGACGTGTCAAGACAATCCTACAGCTACAGCTAAGAGAAACGGTGCCAGAAGAATTGGCTGGATCTCCCTAGAAAGGAAAAAAAATAGAAAAATAAGGAAAAATATAAATACTGCTTTCTTTTTCCTTATACTAGTATTTGGGTCCAGCCTAGCCTCAATTTGGAACTTTGGAAGTATATACTACAGCTGGAGCACATAAGGAAATCGATACGAGTAATTGGGATTTACTCGTATGGAGTTAGCACATATGGAAATCGATAATTGGGTGTGACGTGATTTTCAGAACCTGGCAACTTTTAATATCAGCAATTAAGCATGGAAACATTTGGTGTATGAAAATAAATAACACTACCAATATACTATGAAAATATAGCATTCACGTGTTAGAGAGGTATCGAGGCATCGAGCTGAAGAACTTCTATCGGTCGCAGCGTTGTCCACGAGCGTACAGTGTCTCATGGAAACATATATGACAGGGTGGTCATTCACTAAAAAAGTCGTGAGGGAATAAATTCGCACAAAAAAAAATGTATACCGTGCTTGATCGTGTTTGGTCCTTCGGTCCAATCCAACCACAACTCTCGGACGGGGGAGGAGGAGGCGAATCCGTCGGTTTGTGGTGCGACCGTGCGGGCCACATTTTGTGGTCCGGTCGGTTTGTGGTGCGACCGTGCGAGTCACATTTGTTTGGTCCGGTCGGTTTGTGCCTTTGTGGTGCCCAGTTTATCACGGCCTCACGTTACCCATGTGGGTCCGTAAATGCGGGTGGGTCCAACACGTCGGCGACACACATGGGAGACAGGCTAGCTAGGCAACAACGACGTGTCAAAACACAGCCAAGCAGGCGCCTTAATTTTTTTCTTAAAACAATGTACCCAAATTAGGCAGCAGTAGAAGATCGGCATAATCAACGATTTTTATTTTTTTTACCTAAATGTAAAACACCAATCAGCAAGCTACTACTCCTCTTTTTTCAAAGTGGGGAAGGTGACTGGATTTTTCACATTTTGGTCATTTTGAAAAATTTATTTCGCAAATAGACTCCTGAAAAAACTTATCCCAGAAATGGTTCTTTTTGGGGTGCTAGAGTGGCTGGCGCCGTCATCCAACGAGAGGCGCCGTCCTTCTGCCACCGTGGCGCACGCGAACCGATGTGGCAGGAGGAGGGCGCCAGCCATGCTGGCGCCGCCCAAGGGAGGAGGGCGCCAGCATGGCTGCGCTGCCGCCTCCATTTCTGTTTTTCTGTATGGAGTTGCAACGGTGTCATTTTTATTTTATTTTTTCGGATTTTTTTCACACTCAGGATCACGATACAACCAACCACAAAAAAAATTTAAACTCGAACTACCACTTAGCTAAGTCTGAAAATAGCTAGCATACCACTTAGTCTACTTTGCACCTTCACTAAAATTAGACCATAATTTCTTTAGTAAAACCCTTTGATCAGCATGTTAAACATAATGCACTCTACCACTATATGAAATTACTTAATCTAATTCAAAATATAACCACATGAAATGACATATATAAGTTAAACAGTACATAGAGATGCAATTTTTTTATTTTTATTTTATTTTTTTGATATTTTTTTCACACTTAGGAGAACATAGGAACCAACCGTATAAAAAATAAACTCAAACGGACAAAATATGTGACTTGTAGAATTTTCCAAAACTCTACCGAAACGGACAAAATATGTCATCTATTAAAATAGGCGTAACTTTCTCATACGGACTCGGAATCAGGCAAATAATATATGCACGGACATCTACAGAAAAAGTTACATCCAATTCTCCCTAGCTTTGCCGGGTTCGGCGATATTAAAACCTCCAAATTCCGCTTGCAAGATTGTGTTTTCGAGGAGAGAAGTTTTTCGGTAGAGCTTTGGAAAATTTCACATGCCACATATTTCGTCCGTTTGAGTTTATTTTTTACATGGTTGGTTCCTGTGAGTTCCTAAGTGTGAAAAAATATCAAAAAAATAAAATAAAAATAAAAAAGTTGTACATCTCCCCTTTGCACTAGTTCGGAGAGAGAGGAGAGGAGAGGAAAAATTCTATAGGTCACATATTACGTTCATTTGAGTTCAATTTTTCTATGGTTGGTTCTTGTGTGTCCCTAAGCGTGAAAAAAATATCAAACAAATAAAACAAAAAAAAATTCGAGGGAGGGGGGGGGGGGCGCCAGCCACTCTGGCGCACTCCCCCTAGCCACCTCAGCATCGCCCCGCCACGTCGGCAGGGGGACGGCGCCAGAGTGGCTGGCGCCGTCCGACGACACCAGCCACTCTGGCGCCCCAAAAATGACCATTTTTGGGATAAGTTTTTCTAGGGATCTATTTACGAAATAAGTTTTTTAAAAGGACCAAAATGTGAAAAATCCAGGGGAAGGTGACGGGCGTGCCCGGCAAAGCTGCCGCCCTTGCCGTCTTTTCCAGCAAAGCACACGAGACGTCGCGCTAGGCCATTTCAAAGGTTCAAAAGGCGCGACAAGTGACAACCCAACCGACCCGTCCGTTTCACCGCGGCGAGTTAAATTTTTTTTACTACTACAGCTGATTGGTCCATCTGCAGCTGGCTGTGTGAGCCAGTCTCGGGGGGCTCCTTTTTTTTTATTACTGTAGAAGTACTATGTTTCACAGCATCTACCATAGCAAGAGTAGCAAGCTATAAACCAGCAATAAACATATTTTAAAGAGATAAAAGAGGAGAGAGAAAAATATCAGGCTACAGATTTATAGTCAGCTGTAGCATGGACTTCAAGACGTAATGTGTGTAGGACTGGTGAGACTAATTATCAATAGTGTAATATGTAACTATTGTATAAATTAGTTATTAAATTGACTATAGATAATTTGAAGCTAGTGGTCCGAATTAAACTTGCTCTCAATTGACAGCTAGGACCAGAGCGTCAGAGAGAAGTACTACTACATAAATAAAAATCTACTAATAAAAAACTGAAAAGATAAACGCAGGTGGGATTCCCGTGTCGGGTGGGTGGTGTAGAGTTCCCAGATCTCTCGTTTTCGCTTTCCCCACCACCCTCCCAAGCGGGCCCCACCACGTTTATCTTTAGCGCTCGTGGCCCCACTGCACGGTGACCCTGTGTGGGGGAGGCGTTATGTGGTGGGGTAGTTAATTGCGTGTCGACTGGTGGTTGCGGAGGCGTCCCGTCACCGGGCGGTGCGGTTAGCATCGCACCTCTTTCGACGGCGCAAAATTGGAAAGGTTTGAATGGCCACCCGTTTTTTACTCTGACGCAGGATGACAGGTAGGGTCCTGTTGACGCGTAAAGGTAGTGGCAGGCTTTTCGTGTGAACCTAGGTTTCTCCGCCCGCGTGGGATCTCACCGCTATATAACAAGAGGGGGGGTTTCCTCTCCACCCCTTGGCCGCCTCTTTCCATCTCATTCATTTGTCTCCCACCCAATCTCATACAGGAACTTCTCTCGCCGGTCGCCGGCGGCCTGGTTTCGGCGCCTGCTGCCGACCTATGGCCTCCTCACCCTGCCTCGCCGGCGGTGATGTATCTGTGACTGCAGAGGACGGCCTTGGTCTCGGCAGGGATGTCTCTGTGGCCGTCCTCTATAGTGGAGGGACGTCTGGCCTTGGTCTCTGCAGCCGGCCGGCAAGTTGCCGGCTTTAGCCCTTGGCGAGGTCTCTGACATATGGCCTCGTACCTGGCCTCGCCGGAGGAGTCTCTTTGGCCGGCCTGTACAGTCGAGGGACGGTGTTGGTCTCTACAGCCGTTCCATGGTGCCAGCTTGAGCCTGGCCTCTGACTGCGACGACTGAGGCAGGCGCATGTGTGACCGGTTGATTTACGACGGCGGCCACCTCCCATGGTGTGTCTTGGCGACATGCTATCTGTGGCCTGCATCAACGGTGGCCGTGTCCCACGCCGCCGGCCGTAGCAGCAATCGTTCTCCTGGCTGGGTTGGCTTGTGCGGCGAAGGCCCGAGTCTACCAATCCAGCCACTGGCGGCGCCCCGGTATTCTTGTCAAGCTGTTTGATTTGATCCGGTCCGCCAGCCGTTGGATCCGTCCGGTCCCGTCGGATCCGTGGGTTCGTGACGGGTCGTTTCTTCAGATCTGGGATCTAACAACCGGTAAAATATTTTCATCATTGTCTTACCTTTTTTTTGTTTATGTTTGTTTTTCTTTGTCGATGTTTTATCCTTTGGTTAATTCCATTTGTGTTTTAATGTCTTCCAGCCTATTAGTTTTTTCGAACGTTTTCTTCAATTCTTTTTACTCTTACGATTCTTCCGTACCATTTAGTAGCAGCAGTATTGTTTCGACACATCCCTCACGGCGCATTTCCCCTCTGTGTTTTAGCTAAAAAGTACTCCTGGTTTTCTCACTTCTGTGATTCGGATGGCCTTTTTTTTGATGAAATTCGATTATTTCTACCTCTCACATTTCTGGCCCACTAGCCCGATCAGAACCATAAAAATTACTGGATGTTCCAAAACACGAACAATTGGACACAGACCATTAGCCTCAACGTGCTGGTGCCGGATTTCCTTGCGAAACACGAACATTTAGCCGCAGCACATTATCCTCGACACGCTGGTATAAATGAGCGATACAGCCTCTCCGATCTCTTCTTCTCCGCCAAAATCACGATTTCGCCGAGCACTTGCGCCGCCACCGCCACCGCCTAGGCCACGGCCACCTCCCCGATCGGCGTGATGTCTCAGTCGCCGGCGGCTCCCGCTCCCAAGGCGCCCGCTGCGGCGGGTCCCGCTCCCAAGGCGACCGCACCGGCTGGTCCCGCTCGCAAGGCGCCCGCAGCGGCGGGTCCCGCTCCCAAGGCGACTGCACCGGCTGGTCCCGCTCCCAAGGCGACCGCAACGGCGGCTCCTTCTTCCAAGGCGCCCTCACCTGCGGCTCCTTCTCCAGAGGCGCCCTCACCTGTTGCGCCAGCGGCACGCCCTTCGTATGTTATATTTTTGCCATTTCTTCGTCTATTCGGATCTGATCCCCTGGTGATTCTTCTTGTTAGGTTGTTTTGACGTTCACTTGTTAATTCGTTGTGCTGCTATTGATCAAGTGATTACCTATGCGGATCTGATCCCCTGCTATGATTGGTGTATCTTGTTGTTAGGTGGATTTGGCGTATACTTGTTAATTCGTTGTGCAGCTATTGATCATGTGATTGTCTATTCGGATCTGATCCCCTGCCACACAATTGGGGGAATCTTGTATTGTTAGGTGGATGTGACGTATAGTTGATTCGTTGTGCTGTTTCTCCTTTTTTTTTCAAGAGATTGATATGATCTTGCCCTGTTCTCAAGCCATAGCTATTTGAATCCCTTATTGAACCTAGTTGATTGTTCTGCTTATTGATGCTTAGATTTTTCCAATGTGTAGTTGGTTCTGAGCAATTCTTGGTTGACCTTATGTTAGCTTCCCCTGTTTCTTGTTTGTTGAGTGGATTGAATGGAGGGAGTGTTTCTGTTGTTGCATGTGATGAGTGCATTATCATGTAACCTGTTGGTGCATAGAACATATTTAAGGAGTGATGAAATGTTGGCCTAATTTCCCTTACCGGATGATTTGTGTTCCTTTGCTGACTGTAGTGACGTGTTTTGTTAAATCCATTATCTTGTTTGTTTTGTTCACTTTTGTAGCCTCATAGGTGTCTGGTAGTTTTCATTAATGTTTAATCAGCTCTATATATTTGAACAATGTGGTTTCATTAAAGTTGTAATCAGCTCTAGATTTTTGAACAATGCAGATACTCGTCTGTGCTAAGGTTGGTCTCCAACAATTCTGATGAGGACTTTGACCGTGAAGTTTATAGGCTTGCGCACTTACGGCCACTTGTTTCTAAAGCTGCATCGCAGCGTTCTCAAGGTACCTTCTGAGGCCAGCCTGTTTAATTTTATGTTGGCTTAGTAAGACATTTCTTATTAACACCCTGTTTAATTTTTTATTTCTTATTTACTTGGACACCTTATAATTAATGGGTTGTAACATTGTGAGTGTTTAATACCACGGTTGCTTGCTGTTGTAGCTCTATTCCTATGATAAATTACATTTGGGAGGTGTAATAGTATTTTGTTGTCTAATTGGTTTTGATTGTGTGGTCTTATGTTGACTTCTTATGATTAATTGAAGGAGCCTGTCTGCCTGTAAACAGAAAACACTGTAGATTATGGCTATCTAATGTGGTCACTGTTTTTATTACACATTATTATCGGTTGCATGAAAATTAACCACATTTTACCGCTTTTGCAGCAATGGTAGATGATTTTACCAATTTTAGCTCCGATGATGAGTTTGAGTACAGTTCTGGAGTGCTGGTTGATAGTGTTTTTGATGTGTTGTGTGATGACTTTTCTGATGAGGATTTTCAATATGAAGAAGTTGATGCAAGGTATTATAGGGTCAGTAAGAGAACTCTCAAGGCGGGAGGCCTGGTAGGACTGGAAGGTGGAAAACTTGGTACAGCCTACTACAGGTCTGTTAAAGTGTCTAGTGATTATATCATGCTGAATCTTCTGTTTTGATGTTCTATGATTGTTGCTTTACCTGTATGTCACATTTTAGCTCTAATTAGCTCTGGTTTTCAAAAAAACTGTGCCGTTAATCTTCACATTTGTCACTGTTTTCTTAGTTCTGTTCAAGGTTTTTCTTGTTCTGTTTTTCCTACTGTGTTATATTTGTCCTACATTATCCTGAAAGTGACGAACTTGCTGGTCCATAATTATGTACAGTGGTGGTCCCTGGTATTATGTGTTTTCTATGTACAGTGAAGGGTCTTGAAGTAAATGACAAAACAAAGTAATTGGGCTTAATCTACCTTTTTCGATCCATTCTAGTCCATACAAAACTTTAGAAGCAAGAATATAGCAAAATAGAGAAATTTTAATGTCTTCCTTAAATATTCATGTCTGATTAACTGTTTTTGCAGGGCCTGAAATAGAAAGTGAGGTCATTTGCGGCAAGGAGAAGTCCATAGCAAGAACAGCACATGCCACATTGGACTAGAAACCTACCTTTTCTAGCCATCGAAATCACCTTTTCTGCTATAGTGCTATTGCCGATTGGAGTTGTTTTCGATATAAAGCTCCACAGATACATAGCTTCACAGCCATCGAAGATAGTTCGTACTTAGAATCTACACTCTTTCATTGTACATTTTAACCTCGACCATCGTTAACTTCATATTTGTTTGTATCATTGCAACGTATGCTCCGTCGATCTGCATCAGATTCTCTACTTTCTTTGACCAACATCACATTTTCGTTTCACCAACAAAATAATCAATTCAGTAGAGCTTAACAACCTACATGATGAGATAATGCAGTTTATTTTACGTCCCTCGATTTTACCCAGAGTCTGACTTTTGAACTTGAACCGAAATGCCACATTCAAGTCCATCTCTTTAAACTGGTGCAACCCGGATTGATTTAGATGTTGCTAACAACACGTCTAAGGCTGTGTTTAGATCCAAAATTTGGATCCAAACTTCAGTCCTTTTCCATCACATCAACTTGTCATACACACATAACTTTTCAGTCACATTATCTTTAATTTCAACCAAAATCCAAACTTTGCACTAAACTAAACACAGCCTAAGTGTTTTGTTTGACTGAGTTTTTATACCACATGGCGTTAATGTAGCACTTGAAAAAAATGTATCTGTGGGAACCATGTGTTAATAAGTACTATCTCCATCCTAGCCGTGGTTACACGTGTCGTCCGTCTTATTTAAAAATTTATATATAAAAAAATTAATCATATAAAATACTAATCATGTTTTATTATCTAATAATAATAATAATAAATAAAATACTAATTATAAAAAAAATTAAATTAGACAAACGGTGTAAAATTGTACTAATTTTGAAACGGAGGAGTATCATTTTTCCTCGGCGCAGCGTTCCCTTGCCGAACCAGCACATTATCCTCTTCTTTATTTCAAGTTTGAGGCAGTCTTCCGACTGTCTTCTTCTTCCTTCCACGAAACAAGTAACAACATCTCCGGTGTGATCTGATCTGTTCATTTGATTTGATCGTATACACGCACTTGCATATCGCGTCTCCTTGTGTGGGGGCGAGTGGCTTAGGAAGGACGCTGTCCGGCTTGACACGTCGGCGATTTTCCTAGCTGGCTGAAGGAGGTAAAGGTAAAAGCACCTTTGAGAGAATGTTCCTCGTTCGTGTCAAACAGTCAGGTACGCCCCTCACCACATGCACGAAAGTTGTTAACACCACAACTAGCAAGAGCGACAGATGCAACCAAAATATATGGGGGTGTGCCTGATTTTGTGTTTAGGCGGTGTTCTTCCCTCACCTTTTCCAACTATCTCTATCGTTTTTCACACACATATTTACCAAACTACTGAGGGCCGCTTTGAATCGCAGAAATGGAAAAACGCAGGAATAGAAAAAATACAGGATTCTGATAGGAATGCAGATGTAAAATAGAGGAAAATACAGGAAAAACATAAGAATGACCGTTTGATTGGACCACAGGAAAAACGCAGGAATCGGATGAGAGAGATAGACTCAAATAAATTTTTCCAAGAGGTTGGACCTCTTGCTAACTTTCCTCCAAAATCTCTGTAGGATTACACATTCCATAGGAATTTTAAAAGATAGTATAGGATTCAATCCTAATCCTTTGTTTCAAAGGCTTTCATAGGAATTTTTTTCATAGAATTGAAGTCCTTCAAATTTCCTACATTTTTCTTACAAATTAAAGGGGCCCTAAACGGTACGTATTTTATAAAAAGTTATATCGAAAAGTTGATTAAAATAGCATATTAATCCATTTCGTCCGGGCCGTCAGTAAAGCCTCCCTCTTCCTAGTCCATTTCGTCCTTCGCATATTCTGAAACCGAACAGAATATATGCACATTTTCACATGCTCTGCTTGCACATTTTGACCGACCAAAAAGTTTGCATTGTTGTTTTGAATTATCAACATTGATAACTGATATGTGTATACTGCACTATTATTGTTGTTCAAAGTGAGATCACAACTAGTAAACGGTACGTATTTTATAAAAAGTTATATTGGAAAGTTGATTAAAATATTATATTAATCCATTTCGTCCAGGCCGTCGATAAAGCCTCCCTCTTCCTAGTCCATTTCGTCCTTCGCATATTCTGAAACCGAACAGAATATATGCACATTTTCACATGATCTGCTCGCACATTTTGACCCACCAAAAAGTTTGCATTGTTGTTTTGAATTATCAACATTGATAACTGATATGTGTATACTGCACTATTATTGTTGTTCTTAGTGAGATCACAGTAATCTTCCTTCCAAGAAAGACCTCTGAGTGTATTCATAATTCATCCTCAAAATATATTGAGAGTTTGGTGTAATCTGAAACAAATTCAGGTCATCACCAGAAATACACAAATACATAACCAATGCATGGAGAGTACCTCCAAATATTCATGAGTTCTACAAAATGTGCAACTAATATATCTATCTCCTAATGGAAAGTGTCTTTAATCGATGGCATAAACGTAGATAATAGTTGCTTGGAGTTCATATTATTTATTCAAAAGGAATATGATGTTGCGAATATCATCAACTTTTCTAAGCTCTTTTCAGAGTTAAGTTCAGAATCATTTATTTTAACTCTCATTAGTTTGCTTTTGAATTTTTCATCAGATTTACAGGAACAAAATCTTTCCACCTTCATTTTGTTTTTAACCATGTTTTCTGCATGCCTATTGGCTATTTTCATCCGATAGACCAATACTGGTTTTAATGGGTAGCCCCTGTTCTTCTGAAATTACAAATTGAAAAATTTCGGCCAATAGTGTGCAAAGCTGATACAACTCAATGGAACTGCAGCATTGCAATAGCACCTGCTGTTTGTTAATTTTGTTAATCCTACAACAATCGTGGGGCTTTGAATGGTTATACTACTTTCTAAGAGCAGGTACAATAACAGACTATAAGCCAGCTGCAAACATATTTTAAGTAGATAAATAAGGAGAGAGAAGGGTAGCGGGCTACAGATTTGTAGCCAGCTGCAACACGGACTCCAAGACACAGTGTGTGTATGACAGGTGGGATCAGGTATTAATAGTGTAGTATGTAACTATTGTATGAATGAGCTATTAGATTGGCTATAGATGAATTGGAGCTAGTAGTTGGCTATACTATTGAACTTGCTCTAAGCCTGTTTTTTTACTGTTTGGAATATAATGCTGGCCTCATGATCAATGAAACCTACATATGTGCAGAGCTTCTATCGGCGGCGCCGCCAGCTCCCATTGGCGATAGTGGCAGCCATCGGCCGGTGGGCTCCTATCGGATGTAGTTTCCGTTGGCTGTGGCATAGAAATCCTATTGGCCCCAAGCTCCGGGGGGGGGGGGGGGGGGGGGGCGCTGCTGTTGGCTAGCTAACAACTCCATCGGCGCCCAAGTTCCCCTCGACCTCCCGTCCACAGCGTGGGAGCAAGTATTTCTCCGAATCTAATTTGCACTGCAAACGCAGGCACCATTCAATGCTTGTAAATTGATTTGCACAGTGTTCCTACACTGATTTTCCTCCCCTATTTGTGGTATGGTTCAGCCGTGATGTTAGCCATCTGTATGCTTGCTAAAATGCCTGCAACTCTGTAACAGTGGAAGATTCAGGCTCCCCCTTCCCCACACCAACCCACCCCGTCGTGGTGTTTGCAGCCCTAGCCTGCTGGTTAGTTCGTTACTTTATAAGATTTCTCTAATTACATTCTGCCAATGTGTGATTCTCCTTAAAAAAATGTCACACAGATGCTCATTCAGTCCCTGCACACAAAAAAATCAGACAAATGTTCGTGGGATATGTAATGTAGGGATCATAGTATAATTGTTGATGGTCTTTAGATTGTTTTTTTTTCTGCCAATGATATTCATTACTTCACCTCAAATTTATTTAATATGACCTAAATCAAATTAAAGCTCAACAGATGTTGGTATTAGATCAGTTTTCGGTGATATTTGCATGGCAATCTTTGGTGATGTTTGCATGACATACTGCAATTGCACTTGAGTTGAGGCAAAGTTAAATTGAAGTTTGATGATGCTATTCAACGTCTACACACACTTATGTGTTTGCATCTACTTCATTCCTACATATGTGGTGTTACTGAAATAGATTGAAATCTTTACGTGGTGATTTATTAAGTTTTATCTGATCATCAGTTTTACTATTTTGATTACTACTTTCAATCTTTTCTCTTGGCACATGAGTGCTTACATTAAAAATAGGAACAAAGTAACTGCATATATTTTCAAATGGTTGGAGTTCTATATTTTTACGAGTGTCAATGATATTCGTGATAAATATTGGCTTGCAAACGTCATCAACTGTGCATACGACCTTTCTGCTATCTTTCCTCCAATTTTTATGCATTATATTCTTGCGCATGGAAGCTATAAACGTCCCTGCAAAAATAGATATGATTTACTCTATTTTTTGTCGTCATGTGCCTCTATGGTCAGGTCAGGAGTACCGAGATTTTTCCTTGATTTTATTACAGCATAGCTATGCACTCTCCTAGAATGCTCAGGGGATGTGTGGGCTTGGGGGGGGGGGGGTGTTCTTCATGTGAATGGCCCTTCACATACTTCAGAAAAATGGCTACGATCTTGTGTTGAAAAACTTGACTGAAATCTTATTAGTATTTTGCAAGTTTGTAGTCATTTGCCAATTTTATGTTCATCAATTCAACAAGATGAGTGGTATGATACTACCATCTGAAATTAAAAGCTGAATTTGCTGCTACTTTCAGATGCAAGAGCAACATTCGAGGTGTTTCATTCAAGGAACAGAAGCAACAGAGGTGACACCGTTGATGGAGTCATGCATGCCATAAGTTGTTATTATGCGGGTCATAGATTATGGCGGTACTTCAAATAAGTTGTTATTTGCATAATCAGGGTGAACAATCTAGTGGCAATCTTGATTAACACATTTGGTTATCTGGCATGAGTGTATAATGACAGACTGCTCCAAAGAATACGAGTACTTGTTTGGCTGCCATTTTAAGTGTACATATCCGCCTATAATTTTGGTGTTTGCCATACAATCTGATTATATTCTAATTGCATACTTTCTATAATTCGCTCCCTAAAGACAGTCTATTATTAATCTTTAGATCGATTGTATATGCTTTGTAATTTAGATTGTCCAATTCATAGTGTTATAGTTGATTGACAACATTTGAAGGTTTTTGGAGTAACTATTATTGTATTCACAAATATATTTACAGAACAATAATGCTCAAGTTTATTGTGTTTCACGTTATTTAAGACTTGTTGCAACGCACGAGCACCAGACTAGTTAAGAAAGAACATAAGAAACTTGAATAGTACAAGGAGTGGCACAACGGGCATTCACAATATGCTAAAAAAAAGATAACAAGAGGATTACTACCGGGTAGTAACTATCTGGTTCAGCGTTGTGGTTGTGGACGTAGGTAGTAAAATGGGTAGTAGCAAGATCTTTCCGGTTCAACGTTGTGGATGTAGGTAGTAAAATGGGTAGTAGTAAGATCTTTCCGCCGTGGGTTTGTAATACCCATTAAGCTAACAAGAAAACAACACACTTATCTGAATGAAACTGTATTAATCAATTACATGGCCTTACATGGCCAAAACAAAATTTAATCGGCAAAGATCTCCCCTTTTCACTGTCATATCTCCCCTCACAAATCTGTTTCACTGTCATAACCTTTTCCTCAATTGGTGTATGGATATCTCGTCGAGGGACAAAATTGACAGCCTTTGCAAGAAACACTTTCAAAGAATAATACTATTAATCAATTACATGGCCACCGAAACGAAATTTAATCGGCAAAGATCTCCCCTCACAAATCTGTTTCACCGTCATAACCTTTTCCTCACCGGTGTATGGATATCTCGTCGAGGGGCGAAATTGACAGCCTTTGCAAGAAACACTTTCAAAGAGTAATACTGTTTCTAAATTAATTGCTATTTCAGTTACCCGTCTTATGTACGTCATAAACTTCTCGTCAACTTGAAAGCCCACAATTCTGAGAACATTCAAATTTTGATGCTTAAAATCACGAGATGATTCCCACTTCAATAATTTATCACCTTCCTTTTGGTATAGTTCCTCATCCTCACTCGTTTTGCATTCATGGTCCCACATCTGCGTATAGGAGAAACCAAGTTAACAAAAAAAATAGACAATATTTTAAGAAATCAAATAAACTATATTTGCTGCCAATGTATGTCAACAAGAGTATTGAAGAACACAATTGAGGTTGCAGTTTAGTTTCAAAAAAAAATTGAGGTTGCAGTTGTTATGAATCAATATCTTTTGAATGGTGACATATTTATGTCATTCTGATATAAGGAAAACACGTTATAGTTTATGCCATTATATTATTTACATAGCTACCGATGTATTCCTAAGAACACATACCTTTATGTGCATGGTTTCCAATAGAGGCGCAGCTTCTAAAAGAAAAAATATCCAAGTAAGGTTGCACTCTTCATGAATGCAAGTAAGACTAGCAATCTGCAGATTCCGCAACACAGGAGCCAATAGTTTCGGATGTTCCGGTTGAATCCAAATCTGCAACATACAGCTAATGATCAAACCATGATATTCTAACCTAAAACAATTTCCTTTTTAACAAAAAAAAAAGTTTCAAACTCACCCTTCCACATTCAAAATCCAGATGCAGTGCGCCTATAGCCGCATTACCAAGAAACTCACTTAGCTTGATATTCTTGTCCCGAGTTGTGCCTTTATAAGTTAGCTTTAGGGTCGAAAGTTGTGGAACATAACCAAATGATAGCGGATAAATTTCCTCCAAACCCATCCACGTGTCAACAATCAATGTTCTTAGTTTCGGAAGAGATTTAAGATCGACACTTCCAAATGTGCACACCACAAGCTCCATTTTAATAAGCGTCGGGTGTTCCATTTGCAATACTGATGGCTGAAAGTCACAGCTTATTAGTTGGAGGTATTCTAGCTTCTTGCATGTGCTAAGCACATCAGTGAAGTCTGAGTTACCTAGCCTCACACAGGTTAAGATTAGTTGCTTGAGGCAACCAAATGCACGGGGGCAAGCATAAGAGAATGACATGAAACGTTTTCCACATATGATCTTGTCATCTTCCATCCGTTGTATTCCATGTTTTTCTGGCAAAATCATAAACTTCGTACTGACGATTTCTCTATTTGCCATGGCATCATTGATGGAGTGGGCGATGCTGATAGATTCCTCCCTCAAATAGAATCCCACGCTCAAAAAATTAATTTTGCACTGACTTTTATGTGCTAGAATACTTTGGGTTGCTTCGATGACAGAGATGTTGCTTCTTATTCTCAAATCGTCTTTGGCTAGCATGGAACCATCCTTAGGCTTAAATGATCCAACATGGAGAATGATCTTAGACAGGACGCCAGGGAGATGCCTCCACCGTCTTGAGAGGACACTAGTCCTCACAGCATCACGTGTTTTGAGTCTATCCAATATATGAATCAAAATGTCGTCGGGAAGTGCACTGAGCCTGTCTTCTTGATTAGCTTTGTCACCCTGCATTAGTATTATACATAATAAGTATTTCTGCACTTTTGTAGGCACTCATAAGTGACATTAATATCTCATAAGGAATAAACATTCCTTCTTTTCTCGAGGAATATGTAAACCAAACCTTAATACTCATAAATAATAAAAAAAGGTAAAAAAAACACACACATAAATAGGAACACATGGAAGACGAGGAAATGCTGCTCTTAGTGTAGTTACCTCTGCCACGCTGGTGCCGTTTGATGCCATGAGGAGGAAAAACAAGAATTCAGTACAACGGATGGTGTGGAAATTGTACCACTAGTGCTGCCGCGCCTCGTATCTGTTCGTCCGGCGGCAGCGGGCGCTCATGGTATTTATCGGCGCAGCCGGCGTGCGCGTACTGCTCGGTTTTGGCCGAGGAGTCCGATTCGGTTTTTACACGGTGTACTACGTAGGTACGGGAAATGGAATTCGATCCGGACTGGACGCGTGGCGGATGCGTTGCATAGTCGGCCACGGGCACGCACGGGAAGGCGGGAAGCGGCCCAGCTCTCCGATGCCAACCCAGCCGGCCAGCCCACGCCCGACGACATCCTGCGCACTCGTCTGTTCCGTTCCGGATTCCCATCTTTCCAACCCATCTCTATCATTTTTCGCGTGCGCATTTTTCAAACTACTAAACGAGTTTTTTTAAAAAAATTTCTATATAAAAATTAATTTAAAAATAATATTAATTATTTTTTTAAAAAAAATAGCTAAGACTTAATTAATCACGTGGGATAGTTTTTCATCCTGCACTGCCGAACAAAAGATAACCTATGGCCCTCGCGCGCGTAAATTTTCAGTTGATTATCTGGGCCGCACCTGAGAGCAGTAGTGTCGTGCAGGCTTTACGCTTCAGCCCATGTAGCGGCCTACGCGTAACGCGTGCATGCATCGCTGTTCGATTCGTTGAAGTTGACTCAACATACACCTTCGATTGGCTGGTCGAGCTCTCGCTCTTCTTCCAGGATTTTAATTGGGAAACATGTACTGCAAACTCTATGCATATCTTTTTTTTTAATTACACACTACAACACAGACACTCACAACACACGCGCACTTACCCCTATGAGCATCTTCGAAGACCGGGCCGGTAAATCCTGGAGAGATTGACGAAGTCACCACAGGTATCTCGCCTGACGAAGTCACCACTAGGGGTGAAAATAGAGCGGATATTATCCGCTCCGAATCCGTCCGATGTGAGGATATGGTAAAAGTTTTTAGATATTCGGCCGGATGTGGATGCGGATGCGGATTTTATCATGTAAATGTGGTATCAACGATATCCGACGGATACGGATTATCCGATATTTTGATCGGATTATCCGATGCACTATTTGGCGGATAATCCGCAACTTTCAGTCTTTCAACCCATATATTGTAACCCATTTAGCCCATCTATTGTGACCTAATCCACTCCTCCCGAAATCTCTCTCTCTCTCTGCCGAATGCCGTGCGCCATCTATCTCTCTCTCGAGTCGCCTCTTCGCCTCTTTTCCCACACGCGCCACCGCAACGCCACTGCAGGCTGGTGGCACCGCCGCCGATCCTCCATTCCTCCTAGCGCGCCGGCCGCTCCTCCTCAGCTCCAGCCGGCGCCGCCGCTGGTCGTCGTCGGCTCCTCGGCGTCGCCGCCAGTGCCAGTACAGTCGCCCGCGCCATCCGCGCCATCCCAATTGTCGGCCCGTCGGCCCGTCGCCGGCGCCAGGCCGCCAGCGCCCAGGCGGCACCGTCGCCTGCGCAATCCCCATCGCCAGCTGTTGTTCCCCTGTTCCAGTCCGACGAGGTGATGGCCAACGACGAGGCTGTGTGCCTGTGTGCACACGTGCAGTCCTCACTGCTGTCTGTCGTATGCTGTATGCCTGTTGTGTGCTGTACTACTACTGCAGTACTGCTGTATGCTGCGTGCTCTACTGCTCTATGTGCTCTATGTTGTATGCCTGTATGCCTTGCCTCACGCTGATGAGTGATGACTTTTATTTTTCCATTTTAAGCAACTCAGTGACAAGTGAGCTATTGAACTGAACACTTATATTATTTTTTTTATGGATCATGGATGTACCTTGAATTATATTGAGACCGGGCTAATTGTATTGCTGCCCCCTTGTTGTATGGATTGAATACAAACTTGACATCCGACAATTTTTTGTCCGTTACCGAACCGACTCCGCACCGAATCCGACGTCCGAAATAATCCGCTCCGCATTCGCATCCGCACGTCATCCGCACCCGCTCCGCATCCGCTTAAAAAAAATGGTTTAGGATAGATATGGTATAGCTATTATCCGTTTGAATCCGCTCCGTTTTCACCCCTAGTCACCACAGGTACCTCGCCTACCGGGCCGGCAAATACTGGAGAGATTGACGAAGTCACCACAGGCACCTCGCCTACCACTGAAAGCACAGCGCCGTTAAATTCTGAAAAATTCGCTCCCATGGCCTACCACTGAAAGCACAGCGCCGTTAAATCCTGAAAAATTTGCTCCCCCATGGAGAGTCGAACCCAGGACCTCAGGTGCTACTGAGGCTCTTAAATTACTAGGCTACAGGCCCTTTCGCAACTCTATGCATACCTTAAACCACCCGAGAACTTTGTAAGGCTAGTAATACATCAGTTCTAACGCAACGACTGTGTTCTGTAATGCAAATCACAACATATATTTTTTTTATAAAAGAGCAAATAAGGTAAACACGATACTCAGGCAAGAAAATAAACTTTGAAAAAAAATACTACCTCCATTTTTTAATAGATAACGCTGTTGATTTTTTTCTTACATGTTTGACCATTCATCTTATTCAAAAAATTTATGCAAATGTATAAGATATAAATCACACTTAAAATACTATGAGTGATAAAACAACTCATAACAAAATAAATTATAATTACGTAAATGTTTTGAATAAGACGAATGGTTAAACATGTGAGAAAAAGTCAACGGCGTCATCTATTAAAAAACGGAGGGACTATTGTATTGTTGCTAATAAGATAGTCACGAGAATAATAAAAATTGTAACCTACAAACCAAACATATTTGCCTTGAACTAATACAAACCGAACTTTACAAGCAGAAGCATTTTTTATTAAACTGTATATTAATTATGGGAGACAAATTCGACCTGGATGGAAACCTACAATTATACAAAGTTGATCTTCCAAGGTCTCACAAGTCATTGTCTAACTCGTCTGATCATTTTTAAAAAAAAAAAACTCGTCTGATCATAAGTAACAAGAACCCTATCTAAACCAACTTTCATGTCTTCGCAAAGCATGTTAGCGAGGTGCAAGAGAATTTTCCCCACTCAACATAATAAAAATTGAAATTTGTCCTTTATAGTTTGGATGACCAATATGAATCTATTAACTTATTAAATTAATAGAAAAGGAGTCTCCATGTTCGCTCTCACGGCTCATAAATTCTCACATTAATCGGATAAAAATAAAAAGTAGAGTCCATTTAGAAATAAAATTTAGAAATAACAAAAAATCAGAATTAAAAGTAGGGAATACAGGAAAAAGATACTAGAGTCCATACAAATATACAATTTAGAACTAACTAAAATTCGGAATTAATAAGAAAACTAAAACTAGAAGTCAAGAGTCCCTTTCCCCAAGTTGTTAGGCACGAGCAAGGGGATTATGGCACCACCATTTTACATAAACACGGCACGGTGATAGGAGTATATGTTAATCGAAAAAAATGTCACGATGATATGTAAACGTTATACAGGCGTGGCGTGACAGTAAAGCACAACTATTGCTTTACCACAGGATCCCAGTCAAAAGTCCTTCATACTTTACCTATTGCTTTACCACAGGATCCCAGTCAAAAGTCCTTCATACTTTACCCGCTCTAAAAAAAAAAGATGTCCTATAGTTTGTTTGTTTCTTTGTTAGAACAACAACAAAATAAAACCTAATTGGTGTGCTGATTTGGATTGATCATCAAGATCTAAACATGTGATGTTGCATTTTGTGCAGGTGAGCTGAAGGCAGTAGTATCCATGGTGACAGGGCTGGAGCCCAGGGAGCAGAGGCCCCTGTTCAGGGGCAAGGAGAGGGAGGACAGTGACCACCTCAAGGACATGGTGCTGCTCCTTGAGGACCCTGCCCTCAAGGACATGAAGCTTCGGGCCACCCTCGTGGCCCGGGCTACCATCTAGAGCCCGTATCAATCTTTTATCCAAGTCTAGGACTAGCCCAGCCTGGTCCGGCCCATCTTATCACGCTAACTGCTAGATTGATCGCACCATCATCCTTCAATGAAACTTGCCTCACCGGGGAACGAAGGAATTAAGTCAGTGGTTGCGACGGCGGTGTTGTGCCATATTGGCGTTGCATGCGCCTGGTCAAGGAGGCGGTGAATACACCCAGACGCGGATCTGCATTCGGTCTTTGAAGGCCCGACATGCAGCGATGGCGCCGGCGGCGCTGCGTTCAGCGTTTGGCGGCGGTGCTGAGTTCGGCCTTCGGCGTGGTGGGCGGCGGCGCTGACGGTGGGAAAGTGCCGCGAGCCCGCGACGGTCGTGCCTCGGGCGAGAAAAGTGGAGGCAGCGCATTCATCGTTGCTAGGGATGAAGCATACGGACGTATCGAGAACGTATCCAGATTTGTTTTTGCTAGTATTTTAGTACAATATCCATGTATAAGTCGGTTTTTAAGTTCGCTTGCTTTTGAAAATACATATTCGTATTTGAGTCAGTTTTTAAGATCGTTCACTTTTAGTAATACAGAATAAATCATATAAGAAATCTATTTAAAAAACTCGCATGCTAACTTGAGACGATTGAACTCCTAACTGTAGATAAACCATATACCCGTGACGGGCATAGTCTATTTTAATCTTATTATTGTTATATGGTTTAGTTAAGTTAAAATTCATTGTAGGAGTTCGCTTGGATATATATATATATTTTTAGAAAATCATAAGCTGCAGTTAGGAGTCTGATCGTCTTAAGTTAGCATGCGAGTTTTTTTAAACAGATTTCTT